GGTAAAACCGACTTTTCAGATCTCCCGTCATGAACTTCGACGATGCACCGTTACGCTTTGGGATTCCCCACCATGAGCGTACGACTGCAGCACCCGTGGGGAACGGGGAGAAGTACTATAGACACTATGCTTTAGTATGGGTAGACGTAGGCTTAGCTCACTTTGAGACTTACGAGTACCTAGCCTGGTGTTTCCGGGATCGTTTTGGAGTAGAGTTCGGTCCCATCAGGTCCGCCGATGTCCCGTTTGTGGGAGAGGGTCTGCTAGATATTCAATGTCCAGACGGTGATATAGTAGATATGGAGGGCAATCCTGATTCTGAGGTTGAGTACGAGATTGTGGAAGAAGAGGAAGAGCACAAGGAGCTTGGTGGATTAGCTTTTGAGCCGGAGATAGTCGATCCAACTCCAGAGCACGTGGACGCAGAAGCCCCTGAGCCTATGGACGTAGACGAGTACGAAGAACAAGACCCTGAGCCAGAGATAGAGTTGGAGGCCATGAGTTCTGAGGAGGATCAAGAGCGACTCGAGAGTTCTTCGGAGTCGTCGGGTTCTGATCCTGACTGGGTACCGTAGGTTAGATATCAGCATAGGAGTGAGGGTCGACACTTTTTGACCGTACCCCTCCGGTAGTTAGTTTGACACCCCTAGGTCACCGATCCCTTTTTGTTCGTGGCCTTTTGATGTACCTTTTTGTTTATAGATGGATAATGTATATGGGGGTTTAATCAATCGTAATTTGTTTTCTCTTGCCACTCGTGGTTGCTTTTAAATTGTCTGGGTGTATATATATATATTTATTATTTATACGTCGTTTCTGCGTGTGGCGTGTTTTCTCTGATTTGGGTTTTCGGGTCGGTGGCGTAACCTGGGAGCGTCGCGCTACTATTTCGACCTATAAGCGGGATGCTCATGCTTCGTGGGGTACGGGGCGTGACAATCACCACTGCAATTGTGCTAATAATCTCGTGGCGACAATTCTTCGCACTCTCGACATTTCAGTCACGGGGCCGGAAGAGAGAAAAGGTAATTTTTAACTCTCACGAACACATGATAATTCCCTTACTTGCACTCTTTCTTCTCTGTTCAACAACTGTTGCTTATCACACTTTGTGTGATCAGCAACGGTTGTTGATCGCCAGGCACCCTTCACACGATCAGCAACTGTTGCTGATCGTGGGTGATGCACACGGTCAACTACTGACCGTGTGCATGCTCCACCTTCTTTTTTTTTTAATTAAAACACGCACGATCAGCTCCTAGCTGATCGTGTGCTGCACACAGTCAACAAATGTTGACTTTGTACACTTTTAATTAATTTAATTTTATAAAATTAAGAGTGCAAGATCATTTGGCACATTAACATGTGTTCACTTTAAGTTTAAGTGTGCATCATATGCACGCACGCTCATGACTAAAAATAAAATAAAATTAAATCATATTTAATTTAATTTCAATCTCACTAATCGATTGCTATAATTGCAAATATATTTGCAGTATTGCATCTCCCGTTCAACATCATCCTGAATTGGTTATGATGTGTGACATCCTTATGTTCATTACTGAGCTGGTAATAGGACTTGTACTAACACATTAGTACTCCCAAGAAAATTGATTGTCCCGATCAACCTCTAGATCCTACAAGCTATGATTGATATCTAGCAATATGTCATGGCTACCCAGACAATGTGAATGCTTTAAGAACATAATAAACCTGTCAGCTTTGGCTATAATATAATTCAATCCGTCTGTCTTACTATGTCCCGATCGAGCAAAGACCATGGAATATTTGTCAAGCCACCAATTTGATCATATGCACAAACCTAATTGACATATATTTTATATGAGACATGAACAGTTCATTCTCGGTTACAACCCCAGCCAAGGATTTTAATGTAGTGTCAAGATTAGATAGCATAGGATATCATTATTGTACCTTGCGTATAACAAGGAGACAGATTCCATTTTACACACATGTGTAACTTCGTATGTGAACGAACTATGGCCATCAAATACAGAGACGAATCAACGAACCGGCAATATGCACACCTGTGAATCATAGCCATCCAACACATAAGTCAACATTGTACCTCAGGTTTAAGGATTATTTACACCAGACCAGAGCATGAACGATTAGGCATTGACTACGCTAAAAGCTTCCATGTTGCTAATCGTTATATGCGTGTCACATTCAATGAACTTGTATGGTACAAGAACCTGTATTCTAACTCAGGCATCACAATACCTAATGACTCGTGACTCGTCATTTCCTTAAGTATCCAATACTTAATGGTGAAACTAAGAACACACCGGTCTCAACAGGATCAATAATATACACTCAATGATCCATCAATCGGGAACAATTTAAAGATTAGTCTAACTGTGAACCCGTCACACATATTCTCAACGTCTCAAGAATAGGTCTAGTCAAAACTAATCTTGTGGAATCATTCATATATTTAAATAATCGGACAAATGAATGAATATGTCCTTACCATCAAATAAATAATGAAATTGAAAATACAACTGAAATCCCTAACATGTAACTATTGCATGGTGACTTTAGGGCATACATCTAACACGTTCCTCTTTGCGTGACCGGCGAGCGCGCCGGGCATGTGACTTGGAGTGAGGAAATGATACCTATGCAAGTGTTGAATTGTGTGCGCATGTCTGAATGATGCGATTATTCGTTATGGTCAATGTTAAACTATCATCTTTGGAATGATTAATAGAATGTGCGCAACAAGGTATGTCTGCCTCATCTGGTATGTCCAAGTAGGTATTTGTCGTGTCTATGTTGATTGATGTGCACACTGTTGTTCATTTAGTATAGGGTGATAGATATTTCCTTGTTGAGCTATGGCTCACTCTTGTTGTTGACAAACTTTTACAGATTAAGCATAAGTCTCCCACTGCTAGTAACCCCGGGTACTTTCTTCAGAGCCCCCGATCAGTTCAAGGGCCACCTCACCCCTTTCACCAACCCTGACTTTCCAATGGTCAGATTGGTGCGCTATGATGCCACCCTTTGGATGGATGTGGGTCTGTCTAGGCACCGGGTGCCCCTACACTTCGTCTTGATATTTATGGACGTGGGTGGTAGCTTAGTGGGGCCAATCAGATACCCGGTGGATGGCAGTAATGGCGAGGTAGAGAGAGTGGGGTAGACGGGAAGGAAAGCAGGAGTAAGGGAACCATTTTTTGACAACACTACTTGGTACTTTTTGGTAGCTAGTGTCGGATGTAGGGTGACACCTTTTGGAAGATACCAGTATACAAGACTGCATAGAGTCGTAGTGATAGTCTCCCCAAGAAGGGATCTTCTCGCTTGTATATCACCCGTGTTGATAAATAAAGAAATAGTTCAGTTTGGTGATAGTGTTGTCTTTTGTAATGTCAGGCTTGCCTTATTAATAATTCATGTTATAAATACTGGCCTTAAAAGAAATTGCTTCCACATGTGAACAAATTTATAAATGGTAAAAATAATTAGGAATACCCGGAGTGGGGCGTGCTTGGGACGCTACGTCATATCTCTCTCGAGTATTTATCACCATTTGCGCTATGGGGAGTAGTCGATTTTGATCAAATTGATAGGCCTTATATACAATTTAGTCTCAAGGTTAGTCATGAATCAACAGACTCAGCAGCCTAGAGTTCACATGCGCACGAAGATAATTCGAGCGAAATATATATATCTAGAGGAGGACTTGCAAGATTGTCAAATGAGCATCGAGAAACAGAGTCAAATAGTATCAAAGAGAAATCATGAGCTTTTCTCCCTAGAGGCATGCGAACCAAGATCATGTGGACTTCTACTTCGATTGACAGAGATGAGTATGGCAGTGTTTGCTCGCTGCTTTTGCTGTTAGAATGATGGGAACTTGCTAAGGAAGCAACTTGTAGGTAAGTGAACGAGCCGACCTCGATTGCAATGCCTTTTCTCTTCATGTTCTTCTCGTTTTCTTTTCTCAGAAATACTCGCCAACTGGTACCCGCTTTTGCCCTTATATTAACATTGAGGTACTTTATATGTCCACTTTAATGTGTGTTAATTTTGCCAGCCACAACGAGGGAAATGATCGGCCTTGGAGAGAGCTCGACAAGGAGAGAGAAGCTCGACCTGCTTCTCGACTTAATCTTTGGACTCGTCGACCAAGAAAGCATGCGAAGGTTGTGGCTGGAGAGTTACGTGAGGAGGAGGCTGGGGGCGAATAATTTCATGTGTGGGGGGAGCACATTTTCAGGCGAAGGAGGAGTCGAACAAGGACAAGATCGCGCGCGCTCTCACCTGCGGCAAGCATGCAAACATGGAGAGTGGTCACGATGGAGGATGATCTGGTCAGAAAGTGGAGCGATGCTAGCACATGTAAAAAGAAGTGGGGAAGTGATCGTGCGGGGTTTACCAACGTGGGATGTGCATTTGATGGCGGTGGAGTTAAAAATTGGGAAGGAGAAGGCACAAACAATTTCCGTGGAGTATAAAAGGACCAAGAAGCAGGCATTCGAGTAGGGACACAGAGAGAGACGAGAGCACCCGAGAATACTCTTTCCGTGAGTTTTTTTATCTATCTTTGTTTTTCACTTTTTCTTTTTTACTTTTTCTTTGCTCTCACCTTCGGTCCTTGCAGAGTTTCTTTTCCGTGTATTTTCGTTTCAAAATTTATTTCCTTTTAGATCTAATTTCAATTTCAGTGCATCTACTTTTATCCGTGCTTAGTTTCGCATAGATTCATCTCTCGATCCGAGCCCCATTCGTGCATATTATACTCGAGTATGAAATCACGGAGCGATCTCAATTGTTCTCCTGTTACTCAATTATATGACTCATAAAAAAATTATCAGAAGCCTTGATCATATAGCTATTTCATTATGTCATTTATTTAGAAACGATTTCTTGAAAATCATTTTTCGCCAAATAAAAGGAGCCTATTAGAATTTCGTATTATGGAAGTGTACTATATCTTGTCGATTATAGTAAACAATAGTATATTTTAATTAACACTGGTTAGTTAACTTTATTCCCAAATGGAATTCTGTATTTCTTTCTTCTCTTTCTTCATTTTCTTTGATTTTTCCCATCGTAAAGCTCCTTCCTTCCTTCCTTTCCTCCGCCGTAGCTAAACTTCGAACCCCATCCGACGCCACCTTCAGCATCACCACCACTCCTCATCTTCCATACGACGCCACCAGTGAGCTGAGCTCTGACGACATGGAAGATCGCCGCCGCCTGCCAACGGAGTGGCGACCAACAGAAGAAGAAGAAGGAGTAGTCCGTCTCCCGTAAACAGAGTCCCTTGCGAACCGACGGCTGACGGAGACTGGCCAGCGGAGGCGACCGAAACCATGGAAATTTGGTGACGTGGCTTCGGGCGAACGATTCTCTCCCTGAGGTTCGTTCTGGGCTCCGTGCGGTTTGCTATAGATCAGGTAACGCCCGGCACATCCGAATTTTAATTAAGTTGGTGTGATGGATTTTGAATTCGATTCGTTTGGTGCTGCAATTGCGCGGGAACTTGAAGGATGTGTTGTTGAATTTTGTTGGAGAGACGTTGAATCAGTGTTTCTTCGTAAGTTGGTTGTCTGACGTTACGCGCTGCAAAATCAGCGACAATCTCTGGAAGGTATAGCTTTTCTTTCTTTGTTTTCATAGGTGGCGATTCATTGAAAGAAGTAGGTGAAGTCTAGGTTCAAAGGAAAAAACAAGCGAGGGAGAGTGAAATAATGGGAAGTAGGGTGTATATGGGTTGGCTCAGTCCCCTTTTCAGGCAAAAAACTGAGCCAATCCGGGCGCTGCAGGTTGGGACTTGGGTGGGAAGGAGGGAGGGAGATGTGGATGGATTTGGGTGCTTTTGAGGTGTCTAGGAAATGTGGATGTGGATGTGTAGTATGTAATTATCATACAGATATGCTGCGGATGATAGGTTTGCCAGGAGAATTGAATTCTGTGAAACTTCAATCACTGGGATTGGGGCTCTGTCTCTATGTTTTATGAGTCGCCTGAAGAGGCAAAACCATAGTGGAATGGAGATGATGCACTGAGATGGCAAGCCACCAGGAAAGGTTGCTTGACAGTCGAGTCCTTTAACCACATCTTAACTTTGGCAACTAGGGAGAATTGAAAACCAAATTTACTTGGAGCATGAGTGTAATATGAACATCGGTTGTGCCGATGGATACATTAGTTAAGTGGTTATTTTCTTTCGCCCTGTGGTCTGTGGAAATTAAAAAGAAAAGAATCACAAGAAACACAGAGTTTGCAAAAGTTATTCAGTAGAATAGAGACAAAGGCACAAGAAGCTAATTGTCAATTCTGATTTCTGAGGCGTTCGCAACAGTTTAGGATTTTCTTTTTATACTTATGTGCCATAGCTTTTATGAAGGAAAATGACCGAGAAGCTGAAACTCCTGGATGCTTCTTGAATGTTTGAGTGAACCTGATTGATGAAAGATAAACTTCTGAGGTACCAATAATATAATTGGAATGAGCAACATATAGTTTCTCAAATTAGTTGCTGTTTTTGTTTAGTGTTGTTAGAGCCATATTAGTTTGAGTTTTAGGTGGGATTTGCATCTAATTACAGGATGATTATGTATTAATGATCATTACTTGGAAGTTTATGACTAGTATATTATACAGGACCTGCGAGATCTTGATCTTTTAGCTACTCATTCCATTAGTAGCTGTATTTTGATACAGAAATATTTCTACTGCTGGCAAGTTGATGCTGATTTCCCCTTGAATTGCCTGTTTGCACATAGAGAAATTCTGACTCTTTTACTTATAATTTTTTCTCCTAACAAGTAACAAGGCTTATTTGCTTTTTTCATATAAGGCAAAGCTTGATTTGGACAGCCTTGAAGTTCGAGTTGGGTAAAACTGATTTTCAGTAACCAGGTGCATTTCAGATATGTTACTTTATTTTCTAATTAAGATAATTAGTATTTTCATTCCTAATTAGTAAATGATTTCACATTGTACTTTATTTATATTATACCTTGATTGAACAGCTGTGTGATTGTTGAGGAAGGGCACATTATTGCAGCAGGAAGAAACAGGACTAATGAGAAGCAGAATGTATGTCTATGATTGCTTCTCCACCCCTTTATATAAGTTTTGGCCAGCAGCACTTTGCTGTTCTTCTAAATTGATACCCTCACATTATCCACTCGCAGTTATTGTTGATCTTTTTTGTGTTTCTGCCTTAAATATTTCTTTAATATATGATAAAATAGTATATCTGAACAAATCTGTTAAAAAGTGGAATTTTCTATGCATTATTAGGCTGTAAATGGTTTTGTTCTCATTATTCTTTCATAAAGTATAACTACGGCTAACAATAGCAAGAATCTTGCTTTACTATGTACATTGTTTCACGTTTCTCGTTTGCCATTGAGCTCTGCCTGAATTTTGGACCGAGAACAGTCAAAGAAAAAGCTTCAATGAGGAGAGAGAGAGAATAGGGGAATGATATTTATTTATTTTTTTTGAATAGAAATAAAGCTGTCGCAAGCTGCTGGATCAGAATGTTGAGTGCTGATAGATTGTGCTGTATTGCATGTTTGAATATGTTAATTAGTACTTGATCGCCTCAACAGATTATAAATTTATAGATTATTCTGGGTATGTATTTATTGCTTTACATTACATGATAGGAAGTTGTTATGGTGGCTTCACCTCTCTTGATTAAAAAGGCGTTGTGAGAGATGCAAAATTCCGAAGTTTTTGGAAGCAAGTTAATAGACATTGCAAAATCTCAAGTGTAGGGAGGATAACTGCAATTTCACATAAAATTTCAGAGAACATAACACTTGAGTCATAGAAATTAGATTGAATACCGAATAGTAAGGTGTATCAATGATTCTGTCCACACCTTGACATTGAGGAGAAAAGAGAGTTGTCCATGCTTCATGCATAAGATCCTCTCCTAGACAATTAGTGTTTTGGGTTTTTGAAGAAAGAACTGAAATTTCTGGATAAGGTGTATCGATGATTCTGTCTTGGAGACGGTGGTTCTTTCAATAGGATTCATTATCTAATGTAGTTGGCTTTGAAGAAAATCCTATCCCTAGGATACAACAATCTTCCTTACTTGGTCTACATTGGATGAACACAATTCAAGCCTTGAAAGTATAGTCAACATGGAGCAGATAAGAAAGAGGTGATTTGAAGAGGAAATAGACGAGTTATAATTGTGTTACTATTATTTGCTTGGTTAACTATTTTTATTTTTATTTTTTTGCATTACTAATGCTCTCGACACTAAGAGGAAGAAGGAAATGGCACTAAGAGAAGCACCAATTCAAAGATAAACTATTGGACTCAAATGTTAAGCAAGAGTAAAAAAAAAGTAAACGTAAAGGAGAAAATATTTTCATGAAATGCATTTCCTAAATTATGTTGAAACTACGCTAAGAGAAACTTTCTCTATGACAAGCTCCTAAGTTTGATATGCTCTCTTTAATTTTTCCTTTGCACTTTCCTAGGTAACAAGACGTGCAGAATTGGAAGCTCTTGATGCAGAGAAGTTTTCAGCATACTCCCTTTATGTGACATGTGAAGCATGACACGTGCAGCAGCATTATCAATTATTGGTACATCTATAAATCACACTGAAATAAAACTAAAATTTTGTAAAATTTGTTTATTCATAAATGATTAGATGACTCTTAGCCATTTTTGGGTATAAAGGAAGTATATTATGGCTGTGCAAAAGATAAATTTGGAGGCTGTTGCATTCAAGTAGCTCCAAGGCATGCATTAGGTCAGTTTCTGAACTTGCTTTTGTTGTTGATTTCGTATCTACTTAGCTCCACTTTGAAATTGTGACACATGACAATTAACAACTAAAGCTTTGTGGAGGTTGCTATGATTCCTTATGTTGATTACTGATGGATGTGATTTCGTAGTAATTCTGTTTGTTGTCACACTTTGAATATTGCGACACATAACCATGAAAACAAATGGAGGTTTATGGAACTAATCTTCCACCTTTTCTGTCCTTTTCCAAGTCTAAATGGAAGAAAGTCAAGTTTCCGGAAGTGTCATGAAGTCAAGTTTATATTATTTTTTTCTTTCCCGGATTTGTTTCCTTTTTTTAAAAAAATTTATGAGACTCGTTAGACATTTGTTTTTTTTTTTGCTGTTTTTTTCCCTAAAGACTTTACTGTTCTGGGAACTACAACAAGTTAACATAACACTAGTTTTTTCTTTCCTTTTCCCTTTCCCCCACTGTTTCTTCACCACTGTTTCTTCATCTCTTCTTCCTCGCTTTTTTCCATTGCAGCGAGATTCTTTGATGTCTTTAATGTTATCAAGTTTAAAGCGGGGAATATAGCATCTTCAAAGAAATATGATTTAACTATGAGGAAATTATTCTTTCTGATATGTCATGGCCAATGTACTCGATAAAGAAATCTCTTTTCTCATTTATTAGTTGCAATTGTCTCTTCTTGCATACATGAGGGCATGGGCTTGCTAAATTGTGGTGTATGGCATGTGTTTCCAGTATGATTTTTCTTTTGTCTGATGCTGCCATGATCTAACATTTCATGTTTCCTGAGATTGTCCAGACTTCATCAATTTTATACTTGACTTTGTCGACATAAAGTAGAGAGAGGGAGGGTGCAGCGTGTGGGGGTGGACAACATAAACTTTAACATTTCATTGTGATTTGAGTAGAACATAAAGTAGCTAATATAGATTATGGACAATGTCTTTCTGTTGAATTATTAGTTTTGAAAGAAGAAGCTCAAGTAGAGGGAGAAGGGCTGGGGGGAGGGAGGGGGAAGCAAGAGAATGAGTAATGTGAGATTTGGTGGGACCACTGCTAACTGTTCTAAAAGCTTAAGCTGTTAGATGAAGGCGTAATTTAATATTTAATTATTCTAACACTCCCCTTCATGCTTAGTCTGGTCTTCTTGCCTAGTATTAAGCGTGAACATATTTAATTGGAGAGGTAAATGGGGCCTGGAAAGATTCGAACTCAGGACCTCCAGCTTTGATACCATGTGAAATTTGGTGGGACCACTGCCAACTGTTCTAAAAGTTAAACTATTAGATGAAGGTGTGGTTTAATATTTAATTATTCTAACAAGTAAAAAATTTTAGGGGGGGGAAAAAAATAAGCGATGAAAACTGACTTTTAGAGTTAGAAATTGATACTTATGCTGCTCTTAATAATCTGATTATAAGGAAGAAGCAAGAGTTTGAGTGAAAAATTTTAGGGGGAAAAATAATAAGCCATGAAATCTGACTTTTAGAGCTAGAATTTGATACTTATGCTACTCTTAAGAATTTGATTAGAAGTCAAAAGTATTGTGGGAAGCATGAACTAGCTCATTGCCTTTCTGAATATGACATCAAGCAAGAGGACACATCTTGCAGATAAAGTACCGCCTTGCACAATTTCTACCTTGGGGAGCTAAAAAACTAGCCCTAATTATTGCATAGTTTCATTAGAGAGAATGAGACCGTTGTTATAATGGTGAGCATGGTTCATATGCAATGTTTGGAAGATGTAGCTAATTGAAACCCATCGTAGCCAGTATTAGTATACAAGTCATTTGCAAATCTTCTCTCTATCAGATTCCCTGTGCCAATATCTCTCTGAAGAGAACTTGCCCATCCGTGTTAAAAGCCTCGAAGTATCCCCTGTTTACAGCTATTGTTTGTTCTCCAAGGACATTAGGTTTAAGTCATTGCTACCCCAAACACACCTCTTTTAAATCTGATGCAAGAAGTTTGCCAAGGTATAGAGCCTAGTTACTGTCAATTGAAGTGAATGGTACACTTCAGAGATAATTTACTTGCCTGAAAACCTGTTTCCTTGATATTCTTAGGACCTAAGCGTAAACTTCCTACGTTGAGCATATTCCTTTATCGGCGAACTTGTTTTTGCTTAGATGGTACCTTCTTTTGCAAAGTGCTTTGTCAATTAGTCTGCTAAATTATATCTTGCTTGATATTTGGACATGTTTTGCAAATGGAATCTATCTCGGGTTTCAAGCTGACGAGCTAGGTAAAAATGCATAATTATCAGAAATATTGGGTGGTTTTCACAGAAATTTCATCTATGTTTCCTCTTTCAAGTGTCTACCTGATTTATGAATGTTTCCAACTTTTTTCTTGTTTCTCTTGCAGTAATGGAAATTCTGGATCAAAGTGTTTCAAATGTTGTGGAGGTATAATGGCATCAGAAGCAATTTCTCTTCTTTGAGATTTTTATGAATGAGGAAACCCTGATGGTATTAACGGCGATCAACCATTTTAACCAGCTGAACTGTCTGTTCAAAAGAATGTTATAATACTGTAGTTAGCATCTATTTACATTAGATAACTTAAGGGAAATGATCGTTCTTTTTCAATGGACCCATAGTTAAATGCACTCTTTAAGAGGCTTTTATGAGCATAATAGAGCAATTCTACCTTTTGAACCAAAGTTTACTTTATCAATCAATGGACTTGAGCATTATGCCTGCTAGCAACATCTCCCTTAAGGACCCTTCCGAATAAAGCTCTTTCAAAATCTAATGCTGTGGTCTTCCTAGCACTCATAGCCATTCATATTGATTGAGAAGAATTGAGGAAGCCTCGTTCTATTTCTACTTTTCAATCAATTCTCTCAACCAGCTAGAGAGAATTGTAGCTGGGGCTTTTGGTAATTTTGTAGATCTTGCTGAACAACTCTCGTTCTCTCTCTCTCTCTCTCTCTCTCTCTCTCTCTAGTCCATATGTAAATGGTTTTTTTCAGTAAAAGATGTTGTACCCTTGGTCTGGAGAATTATCTACTCATGTCCCAGGTAAATAAAGCTGGCCGAGTGGAATTTTTTTTAATTATAAAGGATAATGAAATTGGAAGCATAGAACTAGTGGGTCGTTGTCTGCATAAGAACCCATTCAGAAGTTTGATGCATCAAGGATAAGGTGCACATCTTGAGATGGTGGGTACACTTATCCTTACCGACAATAGGTATAGTTGCTTCAGTGCAATGGTGTTCAGCCATATAATGGTTGCTATGAATAGGCGTAGAATTTGCCAGTAAACAAAAAGGTAGAGTTTCAGATACCCAGTCTTTTCTTTTGTTATGGAAAAAGATGAAGTTAGTTGATAATCTGTTGGTTAGACTCATTGGGAGAAGTATCTTCTCCCTTGATCCCTATCGTGAATTACTAAACATATATGGTTCTTGGTTGAGCAATTCTCCAATTTGAGCTCTTCAGTTGTAAATATTTTAAGAGACTGATCAGACCATAACCTTTTCATGCTTCTGAGATAATTAGTACGCTTTGTAAACTCATTACATACAGAAAAGATGGAATTGAAATAATTTGTCTATGCTATGATAAAATGAACTGTGTTTTCTTCTCTGTTTCATAGAACCCTGTAACATGAATATCATTTCTCTTCGCCATTTTCCCCTCCTTTTCCATTCATTTGCTGTTTATGACAGTGTGGAATATATGATTTGTCTTGAGTATTATAGATATATGCTGAATGCTAATATTTGCATTTCAGCTCCAAAGCCTCACATGGCACGGGTTACTCAGGCTTCTCACTAGATCTGCGTACATTGATTCTTCCTGTTGAATACTCTCATGGCTTTGCATGACTAGGTAAGACCCTTGGATTATGATTCTCGTTTCTCTGAACATCCTGGATATCATGTATGGTATTATGATGCAACTCTGCTGCATACTGAATGATTGTCAATAACTTGTGCATAGAAAAAGTGGGCTGCATGGTATGACCTTCTTTAGTATAGCCTGTTAAAAGGGAATGGCACGGATTAGGGCACTGTGGCAATGTTTCTTGCTGTGGCAGTAGAAAAAGATGCACATGCTAAGATTGAGTATACCTATAGCTATAGATTTCCTTGTATGATAGTAGTCAATCACAACGAGGATGCTATAAAGGTCTTCAAGATGAAATTAGACAACATCCTTGCTCTTCATTCCTGATTCTTGGATTATTCTAATTATATTGTTCATTGTTCTTATTCCTGTAAGTTAATCTCTTCATTCGACTATAACCTAAGTCAAACTTGCAGTTCAAGGTAGTTCCCATTCTTGAGGTGAACTCATTGCAAAATTCCTATTGAACTATAGCTTTCTTACTCTTTGTATTCTATATGTAAAGCGCAAATCTGGATGTGACATCATTGGTGCCGATTCTAGCACAATAAGATTCTCTCCTGTTTGTGTGATGTCAGAAACAATTAATTATTTTGTCTCAAGATCTTACAAAATTTAATAATCCGTGTGAATATTGTTGATGATGATTCGCATTCTTTTTCATGGTAAGAGGATGTAGTTAGACATCTGGCATCCCAGAAGTGTCTTCAAAATTCAATGCAATCTGACTGACAATGCATGTGCCATTTACTGCTTTTCCAATCACAGAATTTCATCAAGGAACTGTGAAACGAAGCATGATGCTTGTCCATATCAGTATTTGCCTGGATGTTCATGTGTTTGCAGAGGGTTACAGTTGTGATTGGAAGTCCATTTCTTGCTTTAACTTGAGTATCATATTGTTAAGATAATTTAAGGCATAAACTGTGTAGGCATTCTGATGCTAATATTTGTCATCAACGTATTCTGTAATCTAGCTTTTTTTCTTTACGAGTTTTTTGAACTTCTGAGTTATTTTGGTTGGGCTATTGATGTGTGTGAGCTCTTGTTCTGGACTATATCACGTGTCATCCCTAATGATGATAAAGAGGTCAATGATTTACATGTGTTTCGTGTGGATTACCTGGCAAAGAATTGCAATGACCAGATTAAGGTTCGCGGTTATATCGATTATGTCATAAATACTTTGAATTTATAATAATGATGAGTCATTTAGTGTCTTGATCATTGTTGACTTTGCCTAGCATATTATTGTGAGAAAATCTCGGTGATTTGATTGGTCGCGTGTCGACCATGATTGGTTGAGATAGTCACGCGGTGGCTCCAAAAGTACATGAAAATCTTGATGTTTTCCTCTGTCAAGGGGCAATTGGCAAATGCTTCTTCCCTGAGTGTGCTTTCATTATTGTTCAATCCTGAAGTGACCTCTTTTCTTCTGGTAATAAAATGTCAAAATTTGTGTTTTTTTAAGCTAGTAATGAATGTGTTATTATCATGTCTAGTAAAACATAGAAAATACCAAACCATTTGTCCGAAAGACCATAGTCTAAAATGAACAGGAAGATGGTGATTTTGAACCCTTAATCCATTAGAACCTTTTATGAACGAGGGGGTTCTTTTCTACGTTGAGTATCAGTTCTAATATGTTAATTTCATGTCGTGATATGATCTGGGTTATGGGATTTGCGATCTAGAAGATTCAGAAATTTTTGGAATAAATTTTAGACCTAATAGACAAGCTTCAAATTGGACGTCAATTTCTGTTCATGTGTCCAAATTGGATTCATTATCATATTACCCACAGCAATGCTGGTCATTTCGCACCTTTAATTTCGAATCAATTCCATTCGGGGCACCTGCATGCATGGGTAAAATTCCTCGTAATTTTACCGAGTGTTAATGGTAGAAATTCCTCATAATTGGACCGTCATTAGGCTAGTAAATGCATGGTTAAGCTTCGCGATTCTAGCTCCGATCTTAATGATGGTTTAATTGCGTGCAATTTCGAGTTATGCATTTACACGAGAATGCAATTGACTGGCTATGGAGCTATTCAGAAGCTTTTCCGTTATGGGGTCTATCTCTCGATAAATCAGAGACTACTAAAGAATTTAATCAGGATTTTCAATGATTAATATTTTACAAAATCAAAAATTGAGCTTTGATTGCGCTCCAAAAGTGTCGAATTTGCCTTGTCTTTAAATTTGATCCAAAAAAAAACAGCAGGTCATTTTTTTTGGTCAAAAAAAAGATTCCATTCATAGAATAATATCTGTGAGAGGTACATAGAAGGCATACAAGCCTAGCAAATCACAAATCACTGCGAAACAAAGCAAATACTAGAACGCAAATAACAAATCACAAAGCACAGTTTATAACTAAAAGCACTCTCATTCCTTAAAAATAGATTTGCCATGGTAAACGTTTGGCGGCCAATTATCAGATTCAGTGATGAGCACACACTGACATACCCCACTCCATATGCAACGGCTTGCGGTGCGCGTCTAGATTCAACGTCTTCATAATCATTGTCGTGCAGAGATACCAACATCAATTTGTTGAAAGAATGCAGATCAAATACCTAAAAGGAACTCCCAAATCTGAACCTAAATCTAAATCAGGAGAGTAAAATCCCAAAATCTAGACCATCTAAATCAGGAGAAAAGAGTCTTAATCTCAGAGAGATTATGGAGCCACATCACGGACATCTTTCTCGATGTCTATCGACTAGACAAATGACCGAACTAAACTCCACGTTCACCCAAGATCAACTGCAGAAATTTATTCACACACGATCTCTCAAAACAGATCGGGAGAAAAAAAAAAAGACAGTCAAAGCAAAGAAAAATAAAATTAAAAGGCGAAGTAGGTTCTTAGCTTCAGAAATTGAAGTTGAGAGTCTATCCCATGATAGCTTCAAAAGATGGAAGAGTTTTATGGGAGATGAAGTGGGGAGATAACAGCTGGTCATTTTTGGGTAGCAAATTGGGTCGAGCGACTTGGACAGAGGTTGGAGAAGACTGTACGCCTGGGCAAGGCAAATGCCACTTGCGGAAGAAGCGTGCGTGGGTGCATGACAGCTTGTTTTGCGTTGTGCACCATGCGGTCTTTCTAGATTTATTGGTATACATGCATAATTTTCTAGGAGCGAGGTGCTGCAAATTACTATAATATATGAGGGATGTAAATGTAATAGCATTAGGCACTCCCCTTAGTATGGTACAAGGGTTATATAATCTATTTTGCGAATATGCACGTAATTTTGCTTGGGGTATTTGAGATTCAAGAATACAATGTTAAACTTAAATTTTTTGATATCACGAGATGCATAAGGTTTCGTATCTTATCCAAAGCAGTCATGAGTGAATATGCATAGAAAATGTGTTTGGTGCACAATCACATTGTATAATCGAGAAAATACTCACATTTTGCTGTAAATGCTTGGCCAGCAAAGTGACACGTGTACAGCAACATTTTGAGAATTTTCCTCTATTAATGTCGTCTCAAGCGAATCTTCTTTGTTACTTAATGTCTATCCCACCGTCAACTCACCTCGTAACAAGCCGACCGAAAGCAAAGCGGTCTCTGGCATCCAAAATAACTCACCCAAAGTTCACTTTTTGGAACTCCAATGGCTATCATCGTGGTGGTCGCTTGCTCATTGGACGGGGGTGATTGATTTTCCTTTGTCAATCTTTCTGGCTTTCTTTCTTCTGTTTTAGTTGTCCAGAGAAGATCTGGGTTTAAAGTTTTGACTAGTAGTCTTGTGTTTTGACGAAATAGCATCGTGGACGGCGAAATACCTTTTAGCAAAAGTTTGATCTTTAATTGTTAATATGAATTGGGTTCTTGGGCGATTCTGATAGGAACTAATTTGCGTAATAAGGATTATGGATGATAACTAAAGTGAATCTAGAGAATTTAAAGAATAAAGAATAACAAATAGATAAAACTGGAAACTGGAATTGGATAAAAATTGCACAAGTGTTATGGATTGCCGATCATTTACAACTAATGCCTCTTGGCATTATATAGCCTTGTACAAAATATAACCGTCATTGTGCGGTTATTGTTCAATTACAAATTTCAACTGACTTGGCTTCACGTCGATCATCCTTAACTACTTGTTCTTATCATAAGCGATTATGATCTTCTGCATGTCCTAGGGCTTGACTTTTCTCTAGTCTTTGCTTACTACTGACCGTTTGTCGTCGCACGTCAACGACCATCCCAGACTACTACTCTTCTTAGATGACTGTGGGTCTCGTGACATTAATTTGGCATCGGCTATTCACCGATTTGTGATCGTGTTGCTTGCTGGCTCCATCGACAACCTAACGTGGACCCATCATGACTTGGTATATTTTTGGGTGCCAACAATATTGGAGTCATTGGAGTCAAATGTTTTGTCTCAAGGAAATAAACAAAGGTCAAAAGCGCGGGGCAATTTTGTAATTCCAACCCATTGAAGCAGCCTACTAGATGGAGAGCATAGCAATGCGATCCGATAGTTTCACCAATTAGATCCACCTCTTTCGTTTTCTATTTGTTATTCAAGTGGAGTGTGTATGCTCTATCTAGCAGGAGGGTTGTACATTGCAGATCTAGATTATCTTAGGCATTGAAATATGGCTGGCTCCCCGCCAGATGTTCCTTTTTCCTTTCTTTTCTAAGTTTGTGTAAATTGCAGCCGTAAAGAACTTTTGGGAACTCTGCATCTAGTCCATTATCACTCTTCAAAGTGCCGAGCCATCAAAGAAAGACATCTAGTTCGCCAGCATCCAGCTTTTGTGTGTACAATCTATTCAAAAGAGAGAGAGAGAGATTTGCATTTGTTCTGTGGTTCAAGGGGGAGTTAATGGTTGGCCCAAAAAATACAAATGGAGGTATTAATGAAGCCCAGGGGGTCACCGAAACGGGGTGACCCTTGGAGCTTCCTCTGAAACATGAATCCATCGGCACCTAAATTTTGATAACCTATTTAGTTGTTCGTTGCACAAACAATTAAGGATCATTCCGAAATCTAGACAAAAATATTAGTTAAATATGTGTATAGATACTATGAGCATTTTAATTAATAGTGATAAGGCCGCTTATCTTTACATTTAAATTGGATTGGCGACAAATGGACTTACATGAATGGTTTTGAACTTAATTGGATTAATTGGATTGAGCCCATAAGAGTATGAAATTTTGCCAAGACCATGGATGCCTAGGAGTCGAAAATTGTATAATTAAAATGTCAAATTAGAAAATTAATCTATGAAAAGAAAACTAGGGGGCGATTAATCTTGATATTATCAAAATTCAAATCTTTGAGGATAATTGAGCAAATTGATTTGATATTATCACAATAAGAGAAGAGAAGAGTTTCTTATTGTTAAGATAGAGTACGTCTTTTAGAATTCGAATTATTAGGAAACGAGGGACATCTTTTACTCTTGAAAGAAACCCCAACTGTCAGCCCTATATAAACTCTGTTACGTAAAGAGAAGGGAGGACGACTATCGTTTCTCAAGACGGGGACGGCCACAATTTAGAGGGGAAAGCGTTTGCTTTCACAAAGGGTGGAAACTCTTTCAAACCTTGAAAGAAGGGCAAAGGGTGTCTGTCTCGAAATATTCACGCTTCACACTCCAATTCCACGCCTTCACTTCTTCAACAGAGCATCATTGAAGCCAAGGCCACGGAGGCTTTCCCCGCACGACCTCCATCCCAACGACGCTGAGGTGGCTCCAGTCTCTGCTGCACTGCGTCTCACATCCGTCTCCATGCTGCACCAGCTGCACCATCTGAACCACACCGACGTAATATGCACTGACGCCAGTTCCTGCAATCTTTGCATGCTCAAATCGATCCCCGAGGAGTGTTGAGCCACCGTGAATTCAGCCCCACCACTAGTCTGGTGAACCTTCCAGCTAGTCCTCTTGAGTTTCTCGGTGCTTTCTTGCAGGTTTACCGGTGCCTTTGTCCACGACCAGCAACGAAAT